CCTTGCCACGCAGGTGCTTATGCCACTGAGCTCTCTCCCTGGCCATTACTTGCTTCTAAAAGTCTCAAATGTTCCAGCATTTTCAAAAGTGCAAATGAGTGTCTTCTGAGAATTATGGCAAACTCTGGGCTGTGCAAACAAACAAAAACAAGCTACAGCATTCCAAAGACAATTGCTACAGGGTAAGCAATCCCATTCTAAAAAGGAAGAACAGGAAAGAAGGAAGATCTGATCAAAGGTTCCAACCTACCAGCATAGGCATTACGTCTGTAGGCCTGTGTCTGACACGTGGGACACATAAGGGCAAAATGTGAATTCCAAGGAACGTGGCTGGTTCCATCCTTTTGGCCTTGCCGAGTTGGAGCACAAGCGGCCTCTCTTTTGGGGTTCATTCTAACCACGGCTTGAAGTTTTTCTCCACTGATGTTCCATGTTCTTGGCCCCTCTTACCTGCTGGGATCTCCACGACACATCTGGCTTCATTCCCACAGTGTGCCATGCTCCCTTCTCAGGAACCTTTTGCCTGACTTCTTAGGCCTTCCTTCTTATTCTGCATAGAAGCCTTCGTACCCCTGCAGCTCTTGCACTGTGCGTGCTCGTAAAAGCAACATCGTGTGGATGATGCCATGGTTGGCTGTCAACTGGAGCAGTAGCTGGGCTCCCTTGGACCATAGCTGCAGTGGCCCCTGGATCCCTGGCTGGCTGAGCACAGTAAAATGATGGACAGAGTGCTAATATTCTACTATACCCTTCTGAAGAAGAAATCTCAGGGACTTACTACTTGAATGAAGTATTTACAGATTTGTGTACTTGAGCCTGTGATAGAATGTTCCTGATTCCTGAGGTTCCCTCAAGTCATCTTTATTCTTGTCTCTATTGCAATTAATTTTTTCCTTTTTATGAAGCTAATCTCTTCAACAACCACACTTCTTTTTTACCTTAAATTTGTATGTGTTCTTACTTGGCCAAAATTTCCATTTTTTAAAAGGAATTGTACCTAGCTATACACCTGTGCCAACTCCACATAAGAGTACATACAAAACAAACAAAAATTCCCCCAACCAACATTAACAACAACCAAAACAGAGAGACAGACAGACAGAAAGATGATCCAGAGAAAAGACTACTGGGCAGGAGAGAAAGGAAAGAGGATGAAAAACAGAGTTTTAACTGGTGTCCTAATGCATACCTGCAATCCCAACACTTAAGGAGCAGAGGCAGGAAGACTGCTGTGAGTTCAAGGACAGCTTGGTCTACACAGTGAGTTCATGCCAGTCTGAGCTACATGTCAGGACACGGAATAACAACAACAAAAAGAAAAACAATCTTAAAACATGTTATATACATGTACCAACGTCCCACAAGAACGTAAATGTTGGGTACTATACATATTTTTAAGATTTGCATCTAGATAGCTATCCCCTCAAAGCCTCATGCATTTCTACATGGGGTTTTCAGAGCCAGCTGGCTCTAGGGTGGATGAGTATGGGGTAAGGGTGTGTGGTAAATGGATTAGTCCACTGATTGCGTTATTCTGGGTGGGTACGATGGCATTCAGTTTATAGGCTTGTAGCCTGCATGCCACAACATGGAAAGCGGAGGAAGGATCCCTGTCTCGCCTACCCTGCCATGCCTGTCTCCCCCCTGCCATGCCCCTATGCTGTGCCGCCTGGCCTGAAGCCAGCTGGCTATGGGCTGAAAGTTCCACAGACCGTGAGCTACAACAACCCTTTCCTGCTCTAGCTCGCAAATGTCAAGGACTGTGTCCAAGTGAAGAGAAAGGTAACTAAGGCTCGCATGCACTAATAAAAAAGATGTTTTAAAAAATTTATTCATTTTAATGGGAAAAAATAAAATAGCAATGAAAAAGTTTCAGAACAGCTTAGTAGGATATTGTTTAGACAAAAGAGACTTTTGAAAATTAAGAATTTTCAAATATTTCAGATTGACATTTATCTCTGATTCCCACTAGAAATCAGTCTAAAAGAAGCCATCCTTACTCAGGGTATCAACTATCTTGAAATTTCTGGGCCGGGGAGATAGCTCAGTGGAATAAGCGTTTCCCTGGCAAGGGCAAGGGCCTGAGTTCAATCCCTAGTTTTGAAAAAAAAAAAAAAAGACAGAAAGAAATTTCTGCCATTACATTAATTAGTCCACTGACCATTAATTTGTAGGGATCCACTGATCTTACCATGAACAGTTCTATGTGGGAAGACATTGCGGCAGGAATGAGAAAGATAGACAAGAAGACAAAAGCTGGGCTAAGTGGTCTGCCTGATGGGCAAGACTAACTCCACCGCAAGAAGAAAAGATCCTTTATACTTCTGCAAAGTTAGTAACATGGGACACAAGGCTGTCTATCAACAGTAGCTGGCCTGAACCAGACAGGATGTTTTCTCAGGAGTGAGGAAGCTTGTTTGATTTAGGCGCCGAGGCCCAGTCCCACCTACACACATTTGATTGCTTTCCTACCTTCCTGTGCTCCCAACATTAATTAGTCTCCTGGAAGTCTCAGGACGCAGAAATAATGTGTTGTTGTTGTTGTTGTTGTTGTTGTTGTTGTTGTTGTTGTTTGGTGGAACTGGGGCTTGAATATAGGCCCCTACGTTTGCCAGGCAAGCACTTATTCTACTGAGCCATCTCCCCGGCCCCACGGAATTAATGTAAACAATATCTTTTTTGCTAGATTGTAACACGCATGGCTTTTCATTCAAATACCAGTGGAAGCTTTGTTCCCAGCTGCAATCTCCTCAGCTTGGCCTTTACTACCAGCATTCTGACCTGTGCTCTAGCCAGAATCATTCCTGAAGAACTCTTTATACTGTTCTGAGGTTTCTTTAGCCAACATTTCAAATCATTTTGAACTCCTTCCCCACACTTGTTCCAAAGCTGCTCAGTCCTGCAGCACAGGTTCAGCAGCTACCCCACGTCTCTCGGGTCAGTGTTCTGTGCTAGCTAGCCCGCCACTGAGACGCATCACCCCCACCTGCAATGTAAAGGAACACAGGTTTCCTGTGGCCCGAGGAGTTGAGGACTCTGTCTACAGCTGGATGACTCCAAAGCAGAGACATCATGGCAGAAGTGTGTGCAACACACAAAGACTGCGTTCATGGACGGAGGAAGCAGAGAAGGGTAGAGTGTGAGAGCTGAATGTGCAAGGGCCACAGGCAGCACCCCAGAACATGCAGCCGTGATCTGCCACGACACCCAGGGCCTTGCTCGACTAGTACTGCAGGCACATCGTAGACCAGTGAACTCGACATCAGGCAGGCAATGCCAACACACTGGAAGGATTGCAGAGGAGACGGTGCAGAGAGAAGAAGTGGTAACATGCGAGGGACATTGGTTTTGAAGGAAGTCTGCAAACGCTCTCATTAGAAAAAGGACTGGACTCTGAGTACCACAGGATTCGCTCCAGGCCCTCTATACGCTGTTTCTTTCTTTACTGTGAGGAGACTACAGTGAGCTCACGCTCACACACTGTCCTCCTACTGGAGTGCACACAGAGCATGCCTTAGATGGCAGCAGGAGAATATACGGGGCCGTTGTCTGTCTTCACTGACCGCAAGCAAGAAGTAAATAGCCCTGTGCCACTACAGGCTCGCGAGAATACAGGCTGAGGTCTCGAAGCCGACACAGAACCACAGAACCTGCGGTAAGGTCCTGAGTGTCATGAGACTTACTTTGGGAATTTACACTTAAAGTGGTGTCCGGGTGTCAGCCTTGATTCCTCCCTCTATACACTCCTAAGGTGCTCACGAAGGCAACACACAAAAACTGACAGGAGCTATTATATGTACATAGATGGGAACTAGAAGATGAATGATAAAGCCAGGCTGGGCATGGTAGTGCATGCCTGCAGTCCCAGCACGCAGGAGGCTGAGGCAGGAGAGCACTGCGAGATTGAGGCCAGCCTGGGCTACATAGTGTGTTCAAGGCCTGCCTGATATGCACAGTAAGCCCCGGTCTCAAAAAGGTTACAAAAATGAATATGGCAGAAAGCATAAATAATAGAAGACAATGAATGAGAACCAGAAATTAAGAACAAAATTCTATTTCACTTGAAGGTGACCAAGGAATACTTTTTTCCTTTCTTATTTTATGTCATTTCCACAATCATTTTTCTCATCCTGAAATAGTAGTATCCATGAACTTTCACTGTTTTCTTCTTCCTTATTTCCAATAGCGGGGCTCTTGATGTACCAGCAAGTACCCATGGTGGAGATGGATGGGATGACAATGGTGCAGTCCAGTGCCATTCTCAACTACATTGCCACCAAGTACAATCTCTACGGAAAGGACACGAAGGAGAGACTCCTGTACGGTACATTTCCTGTGCTTCCATGGGAAAATGACACAGGGAGGGCTCAGGTCATAGCCTCAGTCGGTGGGCCCAGAGCAGGTGTGTCAGGACTAGCACCAAAGCGGGCCTGGATGCTTAGAGTGAGGTGACTGGGAAGGATACAGGAGGAGACTGCTGGGTCTTGTAGGACGATGGGAGAGAAAAGGTGTAGGTTTGGAAGCCCGTGAGTCTATCAGAACATGATGTCTTCCAACACAGCAGAGGGGGAGAGCTTTCAAACACTGAAAGCTGTAAATACTAGAAGGCGAAGCACGCAATCAGGGGATGGTGCAATCATGATCTCAGACCTCAGGGCAGCGTAAACAATGTCAGAGGATCTCTTGGAACAAGTGACAAAGTGTGTGAGGCTGAGGAAGAGGATTCCTGGGATTCAGAGATCTAAAGGAGCTGATTACAAAATTCCCGTCATGATGACCTGCACCTAGCTTACCAGCTAGCCCTATGCATGGTCACCTGGGTGAGTGTTAGTGGCAGCTGGAGCCCGTGATACAAGGGCCACCTGAAGCTTTCATATGGGAGCGCACAGCCAGGCTGAAGCCCAGCACACCATGCACAGGGCATCCCGAGTTCGCTTCCTGTCACGATGGAGCTGCTGGAGTGAACGTAAGTCCTGCGCAGAACTGTTGGCAGTGCCTCACACATTCTCCACAGTGGTTTATACCTCATGAATGCACAGACTTGTGTACTTGTTTAGAAATAGTTTTAGCAGCTTTAGTCATAATTGCTCAAAGTAGAAGCATCCCCAAGATCCACACTACAGAGACAATAAGCACAGGATGAAGAAAGGAGCACAACGTGCAGGGGCACAGCAGGGTGGTGCAAAGAGCAGATGTGGTGGCGCTGGTGACCAGGATGCACACCGAACACTGTGCTAGACACAGACACTGTTTACTCATTGCTGGGACAAATACCCAACACTCAGAAGGAAGGAAAGGCTTATGGAGCTCATAGTTGGTGCAGGCTTCAGTCTCTACCTGGCTGGCTCCCAGGCCGAGCTGCACATGGCAGAGAGCAGCAGTTCATGGCAGCAGAAAACAGTGAGGAGCGAAGGGAGGGGCAGCAGCCGTGGCTTCTAGGCAGCTTCTGTCTCCCTGGGGCTGGCAGTGTTGGACTCACGCAATGTCCATGCCTTCCTCTTGCTCAGGATGAGGATTTTTGCAAACTAAGATTCCTGGTTCCCTGATGAGTCACTTAATTAAACTTCTCAACTTCTCAGGTTGACACAATATATCAACCAGTACAGGCAGGCAGTGAGACTCAAGGGAGTCTTTGTTCTTTGTCTTTGCGAGAAGTGCTCATGCCATGAAAGTGTTGGTGGCTTCAGTGGAGTTCCAGGAGATGGACAGTGACTTCCGTAAGCCTAGCTCTTCATCGGGGGTGGCGTAGCACAATGTTCTGAACAGTGAATGCTAATGTTTGCAGAATTGTGCACGTATGCTAAGAACACCAACTAGTAGAAATTTCAGTCCTGCACAAATTAGGGCTGCAAACATGTGAAAAGAAAGTTGTCAAATAAATTTCAAATAATGGCTCGAAATCCAGCTTAAATAACGAGAAATAAAAGTATTCGACGACACGCGTCAGTTTCACCAAGTTTAAAAATGCTCCAAAGAGGGGGCTAGATGAGCGCTTTAGGTGTTAACACGCAGCCCGCGGCGGCACACTCGCCAGAGGCTCAGCACCACTGGGCTGGATTAAGCAGAGTCCTGCGCAGCGGAAACAAGGCCAGAGTCGCAAGCGGCGCGTGGACAAGGTTGTGTGATGTGCTGCGTGGGAAAGCGCTGGGGACCTTGTCACACTGGACACAGGCATGGGCCTGCACTGCGTAAGCAAGAGGAGAGACTTGGGTCTGCGCCTGCAAGGCGCTGCCGGGAGCTCCGCCCCGAGCCTCTGCTCGAGGTGCTGGGGTGCGCGGAGGTGTGCGCAGAGCCGCTGCGCAGAGGCGGCAGGTCCAGGCTGTAGCGTCAGCCTTCTAGGTGGTAATTCCACCCGCGTCTGCCTGGTGATGACTCTGGGCCCAGCACCAGGCCTCTCTGTACTGGTGTTTGGTCATGAAAACAGAAAACGCTTTAGATATGTTTATCTCATAGACTGGTCCATGAAATGACAACACAAAAGTAAAACTCACAGTGCACTAAACAATAATATATAAAATCTACTCTCTGATGGTAAATTTTGTTACCACCTGATGCTCATATTTATTTACGATATAAACAGTGAGGCTAAGATAGTGAATGTAATCATAGGATGTGTTGTCTTTCAGGATTGATATGTATACAGAAGGAATGACAGATTTATATGAACTTTTTCTACAACTGGTTATAGCTGCTCCAGCGGAGAAAGATGCTAAGGTGGCCTTTCTCAAAGACAGAGCAAAGAATCGCTACTTACCTGCCTTCGAAAAAGTAAGTGAGGCTGCTTCGAGTTTTGGGGGCGCTAAGTTCAGAGGTCAGGAGGGCAGCGAGTCTGGGAACTCCCAGAGCCCTGACTTTACATCTCATGAGCCTTTAGCAAACCAAAGCAAATCCTTGAAACTCCTGGAATTCTATAAGGGTGGAAGGGAAAGATGCACTGTGGGGTGATACCAAAGGTATAAACTTTGAGTCAAAGTTCAACTTGTTGCACACAATTTAGAATTCAATATTCCAGAATTTCATGGTTTTAAGGCCACGAAAGCCACTGAGCCCCACTCAAGGTTGTGTTGACCCTGCAGAATGCCCTGCACTTCCATTCCAGAGCAGCCTGAAAAGAACAGCACATCACAAAGTATTCTGGCCCCATGTGCAGGGAGACCCGTGTCTTTAGAAAGTTTATTGGTACAGGGATGGAAGCAGGAGACATTTAAGGATTATGGAAAACAGTCTAGAGGATTATGGGACAAGGCTCGACTGGAGATTAATGGACATGCAAACAGGAAGTAAAGGTCCACTGTTGCAGATGTCTTAAGGTTTCTTAGGAAAGTAAAGCAAGAATTTTTCAAGAGAAAAAAAAGTACATTTAAGTTAAATAGATAAAGAACCAAAAATGATTATAAGATGTAGAAGACCACCTGGGCAACTCGCCCTGAAGAAGGAGCAGTTGTCTCAATTTGTCTGAGTCTTGCCGTATCTCCATGTATAGATATGCACAGTGCCAGCTAGGACTTCTCCTCGACCCTTCAGTCCACCTTCAGCAGTGCAGCTGGGGCCAGCTGAGGTGCTGAGAGGCGGCAGTGGAAGCAGAGATGACAGGCAGTCTTTCCCCGGAACCCCCGCTGTTCCCTTTGGTGAGCAGGGAGGAGGCAGGATAAAGCACCAGTGTTCCTGGCTGATGGCTGGGATTGAGCCGAAAGATAAAATGTTTACTTTCCAGGGTTTAAAAGATTACACACCAGAGCTGAAACACTGACCCCAAAGCAGTAGACACTGTCTCGGCTGTGGCATTCCGATTACTCTTTGTGCACATTGCCGCAGTGTCTTGTGGGTCCCACCCACCCCAGCTCGCAGCACTCACATGCTTCCCATGATTTTCAGTCACTCATCCTCAAGCCACTTCTTTTTTGGAAAGGAATAAAACCAGGGTCCTGCCCTGAGTCCAGGCCACTGTTTCAGTTAGCCACCAGCTTGGCTGGACATAGCACCCCTTAGCTCCCCATAGGTACAATTATGCCTTAGCGTCTTTTTGCTCACCATGGCTTGCACTGAAAGTGGTAGATTCAAATTAACACACTAGAACTCCAATAACTTTTCCATGGGATTGAAAATATAAACTTCCTCAGCCACAAAAAGGACTAGGAAGGGCTCTCTATAATAAGAGACACAGGAATTATGCAAATATATTAGAGAACTAACCTGTCAGCGCACGTTACGTAAACCATTATATTTTTCTTTCCTTCATTCAATAAGTTGATTCATTACTGGCTTTTTCAAATGAAAAGAATGATAATCTTAAAAGCAATCCATAGGACCAGGAAGGTAGCTCAGCTGACTAAGCATCTGCTTAGGCAAGGGCAGGGCCTGGGGTTCAAACCCTGTATCATATGCCGGGCCAGACTCGCCACCAGGCATGCTGAGCCGGTGGCAGAGTCCAGATCGTGATGATGCATATCTATAATCCCAGTGCCGGGTACGCTGAAAACAGAAGGATCACTATGAGTGGGAACTGTACAGTGAGACCCTGTACCAAATGCATTTTTTTAAAAAAAGCAATCCAATCTCAAATACACTTCTGTAGATCATGTGGTACTGACACCTTAGGGTACCTCACATGGTATCAGATTCTCCAGCTGTAGGTTAACACAAGTACTATGAAATCAAAGCACTTCATGCAAAAAAAAGCAATGTATATTATATTAAGACATTTGATGTTGTATTCTTTCTTTGTATGAAGTAACTGTTCAAAAACATATTAACATTGAAGGACAGTTATCAATTAAATGATGCTGTCATGTGTTTTTCCTTTTATTCCCTATAATACCATATACTGCTCCAATACTTTCAGAAGCACTCACGTATTTTCATAAGCATTAGTACATAAACTTATAGAGTGATCTGAGCTCAAATAAACACAATAGTGGATGGATGCGTAGCCGCAAGCCACATAACAGGTACATGGTGATTCTCCGTCTCCATGGCTTCCTCCAGTGCCACCTAGGACTTTGCACGCACTGTAAAGTAAGCTGCAGGGGTCAGTTCTGCTTATCCCCGAGAGCTCCTCACAGGGTCCGCACACTACAGTAAAGAAGGAGATGGCGCAGAGGAGAAAATGAGTTCCAGTTCTCGCAGGGTCCTCTCAGATCCCAGAGAGATCATCAGGAAGCAAGGAGAGCAGAGGAGGGAGAAAGGACGGCGCTGAAGTGAGCGCACTGGTGGGCGTGCCACGGCGGCCCTTGAGCAGGCTTCACGGGAGAGGGGAGACAGAGGCAGGGAGAAGCAGGCCCGCCATTGGAGGCCGTGGGCAACCTGGGCGTGGGCAAATGGAAACGTGGTGCCGCAGCGGCCGAGCCCGCGATATGTGTGGAAGACGCAGGGAAGGTGTGGACCAGGTTGGGCACAGCTGGGAGTGCGTGTGCGAGTGAAAGTGGCTCCTGGGCTTACTGCAGGGGTGACGGAGCCCACATTTGCCTGCTGTTGTGTGCCAGGGCCCTGGTAAAGACCTGCAGCACCAGACTCAGTAAGGGAGCAGAGGGGAGGGTCAGGCTGAGCGGCAGCGGGAGGTGCGAGGCCCACGGTGTGCACACAGTGATGATCTGTCTTTACACATTCTCCAGGTATTAAAGAGCCACGGACAAGACTACCTTGTTGGCAACAAGCTGAGCAAGGCTGACATTCTCCTGGTCGAGCTTCTCTACATGGTTGAAGAGTTTGATGCCAGTCTTCTGGCGGGCTTCCCGCTGCTGCAGGTGACCACCCCTCCACCCTCACAGGCAGCCCCACCTCCCTCAGTGACACTCACTTCATTCCATGGTGAGGTTCTGACCTCCAGCCTTCTCCAGGCTGTCACCTTCCTACCTGCGCCACCCCTGAGAGCTTCTAGGCCACGCATTTGAGGCATGAACTTCATCTTCTTGTGCAAGGAGATGCGAGGGGCATGCTGCTTGGAAAGTATTTTACCTCTTCAAGGAGAAGGGCTCAGAGCCCCGCGTCTCCCTGGTCCTCATTCCTGTTTAGCTGACGTGCTTTCTCCAGCTCTGGCTCCTGCTGTCAGCAGTTGCGTTTCTCTTCCGTAGGCCCATCGCCCCAACCCACACAGTGCCCCACTCGCAACCAAGGCCTCCAGCACCATTAGTGTGAATGTTGGTTGTGAGGAGGCCCGCTGATATTGCCTGTCTTCATTTTTAACTGGAGTTTTCTGTGTCGATATTTCTTTGTACATTTTGTGCTTGGAGTGACAAAGATGAAAAGCAGAATTGCTTATGTCTAAGTGCACAGGAAAGATTACAAGTAAATGTAAGTTTGAAGGCTGTGTTTAGGAAGTGCTATTAGGCGATGCTTTGTCCCTCGTGTGCTTTTGAGTGTCTGTAGCTCTCCACGGGAGCTCGAGGATCTTTGGCTCCTCACAGAGTGGTGGATGAGGGTTCCCATGTTTTTCTAAAGAGATTTTAAAAAATAAAAATCATACAGAATTTCAAAACAAGATGATAGGAAATTAACAGCTGTTATTATATTTGACATTGCTATCTTCAAAGTAGTTTCCCATATTATCAGGTAATAACCTGCAAAATTTATCATATAATATAAACACTAAATCTTCCTTTCAACGAACTAATAGAACATGGTATTACAGTTATATTAGCTATTTTATATTTTCCCTTCTTTTTTCCCCTCCTTTCCTCCATCCCTTTGTTCTGTTTTTGTAGCAGCTTGTTTCTGTGTCACAACATCTATTGTACCTTTTGGATCTCTTTAAGTTTCTTTCACTAGAGAGAGAACACAATGTTTCCAAATGAGACTGATGTAGTTCTCTTATGAGTACAGTCCCTAGTTGCATTCATTTACCTATAAATTCCTTGAGTTTATCTTTCTTTACAACTGAGTATACACCATTGTATCCCCAGTTTATTTAACAGTTGGTTTGGAATTTAGGATCCTCCATGAGGCTATGATTTGTGTGTTCCAGGCCTTAAAAACCAGAATCAGCAACCTGCCTGGCGTGAAGAAGTACCTGCAGCCTGGGGGCCAGAGAAAGCCTCTTCCTACTGAAAAAATGGTTGAAGAAGCAAGAAAGGTTTTCAAGTTTTAATACGTGTGGCACTGACCAAGACCATGTATGTCAAACTTCTAAAATTTTAAAGCAATAAAATTATTTGAATAAATACTGATCCATAGAACTGTGAATTAATAATTTATTAGCTGTGAGTGAATAAGAAACTGTGAGTTGCCGCATTGTCACAATGCAGTAACAAAATTCTGTAATAATATGAGCCAGAAATCTCCTGATCCAAGGGAGTGAGGAACAAAGAAGAGGGTCTGAAGTATGTTGGCCCTTGTACTGGCAAGCTGGTAAACAAGGCTGCAGACAGCAACATATTCCTGGAGGCAGCCTGTCTGTTCTTTGTTTCTTTACCTGGAATGTTCCAGACTAGTGTTGTGTAAACCTAGAGTCCAGTGAATGTTGGAAGGTAATATGACCAGCAGTTTGTTTACACCAAATTAGTTATGCACGTTCCTTAGCCTGCTTTAAGACCTCAATAAAGGTTAGAAGTTTCAGTGGCTCTAGGCTCACTCAGAGCAGGACAAAACGTGTGAGTCCTCTGTAGCTGTATTAATCCAGTCTTGTTTCTTTTGGCTCTGACTGGATCAATACAACAAGTGGCATGTAACATGTGGGCACAGAGGACAGCCAGGTGTAAGCTAAGGGCTGACTGGAACACATGGGCACTGGAGGAAGGTAAATTTTGGTATGCTCAGAGTAGGTGATACCAGCAGGAAAATCGCACAGTAGTGGAGAATGAATATGTCCATCTTACCCAGCGGTTGCTCAAAGGAGCAGGAATGAAAATAAAACTGAAGAGTTTTGAGGAATTATGTTCTTATAAAGAAACACTGTTATTGGTGTCAGCATAATGGATGGGCTGCTCTAAACTCTTCGGAAACAAGTTATAAGCGCTCTAGGCCAAGCTTATCAAGAAGAGGAAGCTATCTCTTCAATTGTGTGGTTACTGTGTAACTTGATTTCCATGGCTTTGAAATGCCTGCAGTCTGATGCTGAGGAATCTCCTCAGCAGCAAAGAGCAATGAGCTCTGATGTAAAGCCTTTGGTGCCTAAAATTTGCCTTCCTCCAGGTTCCCCCTATTCCTCAGACCCAGGAGGCTAGTCCTGCAAACGTTCTAATTGATAGGAGCACTTCCAGGCACAACAGCAGAACATCTCTTAATTTGTCTCTTTTGTGCAATGACTCTAAATCAGAAAATCCAAAAGCGTAGTAAACATTTCCAGCTCTTCAGCCTATTTCCCCTGATTCTGAGGACTTTTCAGATGCCCAAGACGATGAACTGGGGAAAGAGGAGAAGGATATTAGGCTAAAATTCAACTGTTACGAGCCAGCTCAGAGTAGGAACCAGATCCGCCAGATTGGAATTTAAGAACCTTTGTTACTGAGCTCAGGGCCGTCAGTCAATTCTCACACAGGAGAAGAATGAATGGCGCCAACCCTGGGAATCAAGGGGTTTTAAAATAAAAATCACATGACTAAGGGGTCTTTCATAGTTCAGTGCTTTGCACAATTTGCCCATGTTGGGGCTTATTGAGCAAGCTGTTTTTACAAGATATGTCTTAAGCTATGTTTACAGGAATTAGATTAGGGAGGGGAGGGAGACAGTTATTCAGTTACTCAGTACTAAACAGCCTTGAGCAGAGGGTGAGGACATGTTCATTAGAGTAGATAACAGGAAGCATAAGGTAATCTAATAGTTTTCCATATTACAACACAAAATTCAGTTGACCCATTACACAACCTCTGCCTCCTGCCCCAACTAACCCCTCTGTTCCCCCAAAGGAGGATATCAGCTCTGGTTTTAAAGCTAACTTGCTGTCCACTGCTTTGCAAACTTCCTTTAAAGAAAATCAAACTAAATGTTTCAACTGTGGTAAATTGGATCATATGAGAAAAGATTATCAAAAAAAGGAAAATAAAGATAAAAGCGAACTCCTTTTCACTCCACTCAAAAGACAGCGTTAGTACAGGACTTCTTTGGCTGATTAAGTCTTGTCACTAATTCCCAATATGCCAAACACACAGGAAAAGAAATAAAAACTGCTACGATGATTCCAGGTGGCTTCAAGTTAATAGAACTGTTTTCTGTGCCGTAGCAACTTATTAGAAATATAAGTCAGCCTCTCTTTATTACACATGTTGGAACTCATCCTTCATTGCTTGGTCCTCTGTCACAGAAAACAGCCAGATCATTTACTTATAGGTAATGTTCAAGCCGTCTTCCAAAAGTTTTGTAAAACTTTTCGTATTTTTCTTATTATAGGAATTCTTTATAATCACCAAGGTCAAGGAACTGTTAAATGTACAAAAACCAAAAGAGAAAAGGTAAGATTGAATTAAAAATGGGACAGATTGACTGTCAAAATCCAGAGATATCTATAGATGTCTATAGAGATATATAGACATATATAAAAATGTTTGTTGTTTTCTTGATTCCTGTATTTATGTTACTTTCTAAGACCACAATAAAGGATATAGCGTGGAGTTATCTCAGTGTCTCTTCTCTCCTTGCTGGACAAATAGATGACACCCAAAATGAAGGAAGGAAAGGTTCATTTAACTCACAGTTGCTGGAGGTTCTAGTCCACACTTAGCTGGATCCAAGGCAGAGAGGTACATGGCAGAGAGCAACCTTTCATGGTGGTGCCTGAGAGCAAGAGAGCACAATGTAGGAGTAGCAACAGCAAAATGACAATAGGCATCAATGGTAACAGAAAGAGAATCTGCGTCTCTGTCTCTTATATGATATTCAGGCTGTCCACCTCAGGCTGGGGGCAATTCTCACACCCATAATCCTAGCAGTACTAAAACCCATAATCTCAGTGAATCATGAGTTAATCTCAAAGTCTAGAAGTCCCCTCCCCATGACTGCATGAGGCTTTGGGGGGACAACTAGACATAACAGGAGTACTGTTTTAAAATCAAGTCTTAAACAGGACAAGGAGGGTAGAACAAAGGTGCAGAAGACAGAGTTTAAAACTCTAGCTTTTCTTAATTAGATTAAAAAGGAAATAGTTCTTTTAAATTGCAAACAGTTGGTTCCCAGCAGCATGGTGCTGCCAGGGGGAAGGGCACAAACTGGGTTCAGGGTAGACCTGTCACTCTGGTACTATGCTAACTGAGCTGGGATTCACCAGCCACCTGTATACCCAGCACAACCACAGAGCTTGTATCATGCCATCAACTACAGGTCTGTGTGCCTGATGTTAAGTAGGAGGGCCAGGACTGCAGCTCGCCTTGGCCTTGGCCTCGGCTATGCATATTGCTGACATCCAAAATTTGGTAGGCTTAGATAGTGCCAGTCTCAGCAAAAACAAAACATACAATGGTCAGAGTGAAGGGGAAAGACAGCACACATCGTAGCTGCTGTGCCTCAGTGCACAGAGGCCGTGGACACAGAGCCATAGCCTCATTAAAGCTTGGAGAGGGGATGTGAGCCTGAGAAAACCCATTCCAGGTATTCAGACAGTTCAGCTGCCACAAGCAGCTCATTCAGCCCCGAGGCCACAAAATAAAACAGAAACCAGAGTCAGAGCCTCAGTACAATAAAGTCTCCGGGTTTTGCTTGGTGTCCTCCATGCTGACTATGCAGGAAAATCAAAGTTATAATTCTACCCACCCAAACCATTGTTTAAACCATACCAGATTCTTACACTGTTCAACTGATCATTCTTTCTTTGATAACAATTTTAAATTATTAAAATGAAATATTCGTTTAAAAAATAAAAATAATTAATTAAAGAAGAAGCATTTTAAAGGCTTTTCAAATGCAAGTGTGAATGACCTGCAATTAGGACAGATACGAAGGTGCTGAGTTGCCCACCTGGAGACAGAAAAAGGCCCATTCCACCAGGAATAGAGCGTAGCAAAAAACAGAGTGACCCTCTCTCTCCATTACAATTGACACTAAAAGAAAAGCTTTTACATTTTCCCCTGAAGGTGATTAAATTGAAAGGTTGTTTCCATTCTAAAGATAAAAAGTTTTTTAAAAATATCTCCGAAAATTTACAATAATGGAGATATTTTTAAAAGGCTACTTAAAATTCTTTTAATTTCTGATATGTTTGATTGTTTTACAGTCATAAAGTTAGTATATAAAACTTTGATATATTACAAACACATATAAAGGCTTAGAATAATATCTAAAAATAGTGGGGCTTAAACATTCACTTGAGTTTTTGACATCCCATTTAAATAACAAATAGCCTAATGGAGGCCTCCAAAGAGGTAAAAGCTATAACTTCTTCATATTTGGGTCAAATTATGTAATAAAGATGTATTGTGCCTCAAACTATTCAGGGCAACCATTCATGATTTTCAGACTTTATTTCATAATATCAATTGGCTCCATCTAGATTATGTACTAACATCTCTGAAGTTATTGGCTGTCATTTTCCTTTGATGATGTTAAATTAATTTGATTTTTTTCACAGATAGTTCATATTAGGTTAAGTGAGGCTATGCATACTCCCCTTTCCAAAATATAGGATATACCTTTCTCACCATACAGTCAAAATTCAATTACAAAGTTAAAAGGGAGAATCAATCTCTCCAACTTGACTTGCCAATATATACTATTAAATTTTTAAATTCTACAAAAGATAAAATACCACAACAGAAAGACAATTCCATCAGGTAGGAGAAAAAAGGCTATGAAGGTCCTTTGGAGAGATCTCCATATTTCGACAATAAATTGGGCCCAGTCCACTACTAACCTGAGGCAAAAGGTATGCTTGTGTTTTTCCAGAAAATGCTAAACAACCTATCTGGGTACCAGAGTATACTGTCAGGCTGTACCATGAAGCCAGATGTGGAAAAGGAGTTACCAGCAACGAGGCTGCATCCAGCCTGGGGTCTACTAAAGGAACTGACGAAATGGAAACCTAATGCTTGAATAGGCGGTAAAATATATCTTTAAAAATTGAACTGAATTTTACTAGTATTAAGGCCAAATATATAAAAATACAAAATATGCATATTAATTATACATAAAACATTTTATTCCTTCCCAATTTTTTTTGCATTTTTTAGTACAGGGACTACAGGGTGTATAGGGTCTCACTACGTAGATCAGACTCATAGTGATCCGTCTGTGTTCAGCCTCC